GGAGCCTTACAAGAATATTTTATATAAATGCACATGTTATATATATATATACCCTTGATTGTCATACGATTTAGAGTGAGCTTTAAATATAAGTTTATTTATATTGTGTTAATTTATTATTATGAAAATAAAACCTTATTTATATCTTTTTTAAATATATTTACCTCAATAGTCAAAAGTTGAGAGATGTATTTTACTTTTGAGTTCTAGTTATCAATAATCATACATTCAAAAAGTGTAATTTAATTATTATGCATTTCTTTAATTGTTAATCGGTAAAATAAAGTGACCTGTTACTACAAATAGCCTCAAAATATGCTAAAACTGTAGTTATAATATATACCATCATTGTGTATATTGTTTTGCGGCTATAAGATAATATAATGGAAAATGTATAAATTAACTTTATTTTTGTTAAATAATAATATATAACTAAATTGATTTAATATAATTGATTTTCTTGTTGAAATAATATTCAAATGTTTTTTTATATAAAATTAACTTTTACCAAAATTTATGTTTATACTTATAAATTGTGATAAACATCATTATTTTATACATAAGCGTGACAAGGGGAAATCTCCCCCCTTCGGAAATTTATCACTTTTTGTGAATATCATTTTAAGCTAATAAAAAATATCCCCCTTAGTCCTCCCACTCCCTGACCCTCAAAAATGCATGCATATAACTATAACAATAATTTGAAAGAAAGAATGTAAAAGTTAATATATTTTTATAAATATATTCAAATTTATACATTTTTGGAGAAAAGCATATATCATTGCCAAAAATGCTTTTAAGAAATATAATATAAGATAAGTGAAATGTATTATAATTATTAATAATGGATCCATAAAATTACTAAATAATATAATATATCAAAAATAATTTTTTATAATGTGAGTAATTTTATTTTATTTATCTTAAAAGTAAAATATAATTATAAACTATTGATAAAATTAAATCATAAATTAAATTTAAAAAAAAGGACAATACAAACAGTGGAATATTATATGTAGTGGATTTACAGTATATTTAATTTTATCAATTATCATATGACATAGCGTAAATAATATGAAGATTAATTTTTAATATTTTTAAAAAATAAATAGATGGCGTTAAATATTTGAATGCAAATTGTTGCATATTTATTATCAAGAGGATTGATTAATAAAATTTGTTAAAATATTAACTGTAATAAATTCTCTAACTGTCTAATATGTCTGTAAAAGGAGAATTTTACCTAGTTTTTGTAACTAATTCTATATAATAGAGGAATATCAACTATATGTCTACTTACTTTTTATAAATAAATTTCTTATAGGAATAAATTATTACCATGCTTTTATATTAATGTATATAAAAGTAATTTATTATAATTTATATAAACTAATAAAAATATATTTCATATTTTTTAATCCCCCCCCCCTAGGAAAATCCTGGCTACGCCTATGATATATAGCAATATTGACATGATAGGTGATGCTTAAAGTTTATGTTTTATTGACGCTTATTAGTGACAGATAATTAAAATTTTCTAATATTGAAATTTATGAGACAGATAATATTATAATTTAAACTCTTTCAGACACTAACCTTAAAATTAAAATTCGATTCAAAATTTAATTTCTAAAATCAAATTGGCCTTTTCATGCGGTATGACTAGATTGATTGACATCTTGATTTTAGATTTTCCCAATAGTTCATAGCCCTTTGGCCCTTTAAATGAGGAATGACAAATGTCCAGATTGCATATTTGGTAAGGTAGCTAAAAAACTTGTCTAAGATGTGTCATAGCGCACTTTATTCCTTTCTAATTAGAATTCTGACCTTTGGGGCTAAAGAAGTCAAAGAGTGATCTTTATAGCTATTTCTATTTAACAGCTAAAATTCTGCATTCATTCTTATTTTTTTTTCTAAAATAAATAGAATTTAAGTTTTCTACTTGTTTAATAGTTTTTTTTCTTCTAGGCTGTGCAATTTCATATATTAGTATAGCAATATTATATTGTAACATGTATAATTTATTTTAATAAATTAAGTTGGATATCAAATTAGTATCACTAATACCATCACATCCTCCCCCCTTTTTGAATATCATATTCCAATCCCCTCCCCATCTAAGATAACTAGTATACAATTATACTTGTTAGAAGATAACCATAAATAATGTCTATTTACATAAAAATAAAATCATGTGAATTGATTGCTAAGTGTGTTCCGTTTGAAAAATTAAACGATTTTGGTAGATGCAAAAAAATAAATATATAAGATCCTTTTAAAACTAATTACTCAACTCAAATAAATTTTCTAACATTTTTATTTGCCAACATCAACCAAATAAAAAATTTAAAAATATTTTAATTTCCCGCTAAAAGTATTGAATTTTTCTATTCAAAATAAAATTCATTGCATTTTATACATTTCCAATAAATACTGATATTAAATATTAGTCATTAAATCAAGGAAACAGAAGGCTTACAAATATGGCAACTCCGTTGCACACTTTAAATCGAGAAGTCAACGAGATGACCATTCACAACTCTCCCTCATTTCTGCAGGTAGCGGCTACGTCCATCAAAAAATCTTTACCAGCTGCTAAGCAACGTTGAGCTACGTACGCAATACTTATACCTTGACAAATACTGCAGATAGAAACTCTGAAATCTTAAAAGAATGATGATAACCTTTGTAGAGAAAGTCCTATGAGGCTGGGAATATCAATTGGGAAATGGTAATACCCTAACACTGTATTCTCTGTCAAACATCGGTCAACTACAAAGGTAGCCATTCTTTACACTGTAAGTGTTGCAGAGGCAAAATCATTAGACATTTAAAATGCAATGCTATAGCCAGGGCCTTAAAATCTGCAGTGAATTCTTAAGCCCATTGGATTATACAATAATTCTTTGGAAAAGGGGGGAATTCCTAACCTGCGATTTCTCACGTGTTGATCCCTTTGCCCTTACAATTTAAATAGAGATGCCATAGACGTTGAGACGAATAAACTCGTTAAATATTAGCTATCATTATCTACCAACTACATATTCCCATAATCGCCAAGACTATAATATCTTTTGACTCTCACATCTATCCTTTTTTAAGAGTTATGGAACTGGGTCTTAGCTCGGACCAAGGATCCAACGAGGTTTACTACCTACGTCAGAAGATGGCTCTAAATATAGTAAAAAGTAATTATCTCTACTTTATAATATCAATAAACGATACCCCGTAAATGAACATCTTATACTTGTGATACGTTTTGAACTACTCAGCTCGGTAGTAAATACATCGACGAAGCCTACTTGATTGCTAATCCCAATGAAAGGAAAACATAAAAGAAGACTGCTATATTTATTTCTACTTCTCATAACTGAAATTCAGAATTATGACTTTTTCTCCTATATTCATTGTTTAAAAAAAAAATGTTTTCGATATTATAGATCTTGATATTGTGTATTGCTTAGATTCTTACCAACTTACCATATTAATTAATGCTTTTGAATTAACAATAAAGATTTATCATATTTATATATGAACGAACATGAAATATAAAACAATTGTAAATATAAATAATTCAAAATATAATTTTAGGAATCCAAACTATAGAAAATATCGGTTTAGGATAAAAATAATGGCTCATGATCATGAATCATGCTGAATGTATAAAAATAATATTTGCTCGATTTAAACTTTTAAACCCAGGCTCAAACTTTTTAGCATACAATCATAGTAGAATTATATAAAGGAAAGATTCTTTTTAAAAAATGTTATTTTATTCTATAAAAAATAATGAATCGTATGAAATATTTTCACAGCACCATGAAATAGCAATATACTAAAATTTATTAATGGAAAGATTTATATATACATATATGATGTCTAATAAAATATTATCTATAAGATGAGCCATTTTTATTTCTTAAAATTTAATTTTTTTTATAAAATAAAACAATAATAAATATTATTTTTAAAACAAAATAATAAAAAACACAAAAAAAAATTTCCCATGATTCAATGACTTAATAATTTTCTACTTTTTTTTTAATTGGTAAAAAATGGGTTATATTTATTTTAATTTTAGAGTTGTTAAATATTTGATATATTGCTTTAATCATTATTTTGGAACAGCAAATTATAAAATAAAGTTCATTAGATAAAATATTTTAATTATTAAATATTGAATTATGAATATAAGATATTATTATTCCTTTATTATATTTTATTATAGTTTCTATTTTCTAGAGTTAAAATTATTTTTAAAATTAATTAAAGGAAAAAAATTTTTTAAATATAAAACTAAATGTTTGTTCAAAGATTTTTTAAAAAATTAAAAATCTTTTACAATATTTAGCCAAATTTTTTAAAATGAATTTCTAGAATGCTTTTGAATTTCAAAATATTAGATAGCTTAACAAAAAAACTTACCACACTGTTTTTTGCTGTTTAAAAATTTATTCATTTCAGAAATGGTGGCTTTGTTTTGCTAACCTATAATTTCTACAAGTGAAAGATTGAAAAATAAATCTTTAATGCCTGTTCTCTGTTATTTCCAGAGTTGTTAAAAGATACTTTTTAAATGGATCTAGATACAGATACATTGTCTAAAATAATATCTAGATACAGATACATTGTCTAAAATAATATCTAGATACAGATATTTTAATCAAAAATCTATGTAGATACAGATACCACATTTTTATATCTAGATGTATCTAGATCCTTTAACAACTCAGGTTATTTCTATATAAAAAAAGTGTAAGATGTAAAAGATAAAAATAAATAAAATTTGCATAATTTAAATTGAACTAATATAATAGGTTAAAAAAAATGATAATTTTAAAACAGATTATCATGAGGTTCTTCCTTATAGAAATAAGTATTAGTTCTTATGCATTTTGGAATAATATTTATTTATTTTATTATACTAAATGTATATAAATATAAGTAAATTGTGTAATGATAAAAACTATAAAGAATATTTTAATATTAAACACATATTAAATTTTATTCATACATTAATTACAGATATATATCTATGGTTATAATTTACCAGAGTATTAACAAAGAATAAATAAATAAAATTTATCAAAAAATGGATTTGTTCTAATCAATTGTAATCTAAATAAACATATATAAGTGAGGGTTATAAAAATTAAAATTTATACTTATTTTTTGTTGCATTATTTTTCCAAAACCTCCTCGACCTGGATCATAATCTATTCGATATTCATCTCTGACCTATTATGATAAACAAAATATTATCTTTTTGAATAATGTGTTAAAATAGTTTGCAACTTTAAAAATATTAACAAATGTCAAAGTTGAGCACTAATTAAAAGTTCTTAATTTGGCCTTTTAGTGTGGTCTCTGGAATGGAATTCAAAATTTTATTATATTTAAAATAATGTATTCACATATTCTGTAGAAATAATGACTTGATAAGGTTTATCATATAAAAGCCTTTAATTTTATTTAAATTATTTATGTCTAAATATTTTATAAGCTGGATAATTTGTTTTATAGCAAATATTAAAATAAAAAAGCCATTATTATCAAGTTTCAAATAAAAGTTAAAAAAAGTTATTCATTTTGTAAAATATAAATTATTTTAATTTTTATATTCGTAAATGTAATTTGCAAATTACTTGGCCTCCTGTTTTTCCTCTGCCATATTGTCTTCCCTCTATAAATCCTGCATCCCAATCAGTTCTTACAATTCTATCATCTAATCTGGTTCCATTTATAAAGCTCATAGCATTTTCTGCATCTTCTCTGATATAATATCTTGACGATAAAAATATTAAAATATTTTATTTAAAATTATATTACTCAACAAAACAAAACCCACAAGGTGTTTTCTTAACACGATCTAATCCCATTACGACTCTTTTCAAATCTCCGCATTTGCTAAACAATTCGTATATTTGCTCTTCAGTTGTATAGAATGATAAATTTCCAGTATATAAAGTTGTAGATTGTCCTAAAAGATCTTCCAATTCATTTCGATCACCCTTTCAAAAAAAAATAGAAGCATTTAAACTAATTAAAAAAATAAATATAGATTTAAATAAAAGCAATCATTAGCAGTATTATTACTGGGAACTTTCGATCTCGATATGAAAGCATTTAAAATTTTAATGCGTGAACGTAAAAATAAGAGTTTCGAAATATTTAATTTTTGATAATTGAAAGTTGTTAAATTAATTAATTTTTAAGTTAAAATTAATATATATTTTTTAAGTATTTATATTTTATTAGAATATGGTGCTTATTATTTGCATTCAAGGAATCACAAATGTGAACTATCCAATTTAAAATAACTATCAACATATCATTAGTCTATAAACTTACATCTTAAATTAAAATCAAGTCTTCTGTCCTTGATATATAATGTAACAAAATATATTCTTAATTATACTTCAAAAGTTGTTTCAGTTTAGCCATTCTCCATCGGACAATGTTTAGGAGTAGCCAACGAAATTTAAACTTCTATTAATAACATTTCAAAAAATTCATTCACATCCGTCTCATGGCTCCTCACACTCCATTTATAATAATCAGTTTTAAAATATTACATAATATATAAAATGTTTTATCATTAGGTCAAAATACAAAAAGAGAGTCTGGCAGGAAAGTACAAATTGAGAATATTTCAGCTGCTAAGGTTATATTTTTTACTTTAATTATTTTAATTTTATATAGATCGTTGCAGATGTTATTAGAACATGTTTAGGACCAAGAGCGATGTTAAAAGTATATTACATAGGTCTTAATTTTTTATTCCTTCTAAAATGTTAGATGCTCATGGATCCTCAGGGTGGAATAGTAGTAACTAGTGATGGCAATGCTATATTAAGAGAGGTATTATAAAAAATCTAATGCTTGATACTAATTGTATTTAATATAGATTGCTGTAAAACATCCAGCTGCAAAGAGTATGATTGAAATAAGCAGAACTCAAGATGAAGAGGTGGGTGATGGCACTACATCAGTTATTATTTTAGGTAAAATTTATTAGGATGATATAAAATGATCATTTTAATAGCTGGAGAGTTTTTAGGGGCATCTGAAGTTTTCCTAAACCAAAATATTCACCCAACAATTATTATATCAGCATATCGTTTGGCTCTTGATGACATACAAGAAGCCTTAAACAATAAATTAAGGTTTTATATAAATATTTTATGTAATATTTAATTTAAAATTATTTAGTTTTTCTATCAATATAAAAGATCAAGCACAACTTTTAAAAATTGTAAAGAGTTGTGTAAATACAAAATTTGCTGGTAAATGGTCTGATTTGATTTGCAATATTGCCATAAAAGCTGTTAACACTGTTGCTCTTGATCATAATGGTACTAAAGAGATTGATATTAAAAGATATGCCAGAGTAGAAAAGGTGAGCAATTTTTGGTGATACAAATTGTATATATTTGTATTTTTTGAAAATATAAATTATATTTAATAAGATATATTTATCAAGAAATAAATTTAAAAATATTAACTAATAATTTACATTAAAATAACCTGATAAAATTATTTAGATTGCTGGAGGCTTAATCGAAGACTCACATGTTTTGAATGGAATAATGATCAATAAAGATACTACTCATCCTGAAATGAGGAGAAAGATAGTTAATCCAAGAATCCTATTATTGGATTGCAATCTTGAATATAAAAAGGGTGAAAGCATGGTTTGTAAAACTTAATTACACTCATAGATATGTCTATTATTTAGTGATATTTTATATTATGTATTTACCCAATTTTGAATTAGAATATTTATATTAGAAACTGGTTGTCAAACCTATTGATATTTATATTTTTCACTTTTAATATTTAAAATTTTAAACAGCCTAGTTCCTATTTTTGTTATTTTTGAACAAATTTATATTGATTTGTTTTTGTCTAGAAATTCATATCAGTTCTTTTTGGTTCACTATGGTTTTAGTAAGTTGTGAATATTATAATAATATATTCTACCAATTCATTCAAAATACTGATAAAAAATTAAAGAAAGTGAAGGTGATTTGGTTTTATTATAAAACATAAATTAAAAACAACAAATCAAGTAAAATAATAACCACATCTTGGGATTTTTTTAAAAAATGTAATTTTAAACCATCTTAACACTATTAACGTTTCTGTTCTCTGCTTTCAAAATATATGTGTCATAGTTACAGTTCAAAAATTTGTAACAGTTAATTTCAGTTCAGTTTGGCACCATTGATCGATTTAAATTAATTTGTTCTCCTAATTGTATATAAATCTTCTTTTATTTACTCTTTTTTTAATGCTTTTAGAATTTATTACAGATGTGCTGATATCACTTTTTGATACTCATGCCAATACAAAATATTTTTTAAAAAATTGGTTTATTTGAACAAAAAAATAAAGATCATTCCCAGTCACACTTCCTTTTTTCTTGACTATAAATTTTAATTGAAGCTTGTAGTCAATTTATTTTCTAGTATGTTAATTCTTTACAATAGAGTTAATTTTTGAATTTTTTCTAAAAAAAATAAAAACTGAATCAATGTTTAATCAGTTTTTGGTCAAAAGTAGAATATTAGGCTTCAATAAACAATTATAGAGTCATGTTTTTTTTTCTTATCAAGTTCAAAAAATATATTTCTTGTATTGCTGGGTTTCCTTCATAAATAACAAGTCCCGTTTTATTTGGATCAAATAAATCAGATTGGACCTGGGCCTAAAGAAAATAGCAATTTAAGGTTCTATAATATATAATACACAACAAAAAAAGACAAATATGGAATTCAACAAAGAACAGGACTTTCAAAAAATGCTAGAGCTTGAAGAAGATACCATAAAGAAGGATTGTGATAAGATTCTCGAGTTTAAGCCTGACATGGTGTTTACAGAGAAGGGTGTATCAGATCTTGCCCAACATTATTTGATGAAAGCAAATGTAACCGTATTAAGACGCCTCAGGAAAACCGATAATAATAGGATCGCCAAGTTATATTTTGATTATTATAATATTGTTTACTAACTTTAATATATGTGAATGTTTTTCTGATTTTATTGTTAACCTGAGTTACTACTTAAAAATCAAGTGGTCACATTTTAACGTTTTTTTATATTTTACAGGGTGTGTGGTGCCACGATTGTTAATCAAATAGATGAAATCCGTGAAGAAGATATAGGCACTAAGGCTGGTCTTTTTGAAATGAAGCAGATTGGCGATGAGTATATAATTTATCTTTTTTTAAAAATTTATATGTTGCAAATTCAAAAATATTTTTTGTATACTACTCAATTTCAAAGAATTAATTTATCAAGAGTAGATATGCATCTGATATTTAAGTCATTTCGGTTCTATACCTATTCTTATTATATTTTTTCAGTTAAATTTTAATGTGTTACACACAGGGATCAGGAGTGAACCGTTAAACCATTATAAATATCTGAATCGATATTATTATTTTTTGAATGAGTAAAAAGAACCTTTATAAAAAACGGTTAAACCGGTTCAAACCAGTTCAGTTTTTATATTTTAGAAATGGAAATAATTTGAATATCCAGAATTATATAAACTTGCTCTTATAGTACTGGCAGTTTCCGCAACACAAGTTTCTGTAGAAGGGGCTTTTTTGGGGCTAAAATTTGTGTTATCGTCACAACGAACAAAAAGGAATCCATTTATGTTAGAAAATATATTACTGATACGTTCAAATAATATATTTAAAAATGAGTTATTTTGAATCTTATATTTTTTATATATAATTTATAGATGCAGAAGATGGTGTTGTATCAATAAAAAAATTTTTTAACCGTAATGAACCTTTATAAACAGTCGGGTCCTATTTTACACATTACAATTTGTTTATAAAATATTTTTCAATAATAGATCAAAATCAGAGATTTACTCTGATACTTAATGTTTTTTTCTAAAAAGTTGATATTATTTATTTTGCATTTTCCGTTGGGTCAGCACATTTAAAATATAACTAGACATGGAATAAAACATTACAGACACCTTCTGGGAAGTGAACTTGAGGGAAATTAGTGGGGCACTATCGAACCTGGAATGTTCTGATAAATAATATTAATTTATTACATAATTTACTTTTTTTGTTGATTTTATTCATTTTAAATAATAATAACATTATCTGTTAAATTTAACCATATGTAAAAAAAGATATAGGATTGGGAAAACATAATTTATTTTGAAAAAAGAAAAAGAAGGTTTTGAGATTTGAAGAGACTGATATTTGCCTCAAAAGATAGCAATTTGGGTTAATGGTAAAATTTTTAAAAAGGATCCACGATTCCCTTGATTTGAGAATTTTTCTTACTACCTAAGGCCTAAAAAATGTTTGCATAGGGGCCTATATAAATATACTGAGGCCAGGCCTTATTTTAATAAATACCTGGGCTTTATATTTTAAATCGCCATTATTATCTACAAAAACTAAAAATAAATATAATATATTTTTAAAAAATCCGGGCTGAAAATGTAAAACTCGGGCTGGGCTGAAAAAATCCTAGTTGAACTGGACCGAAAATTTTTTAAAATAAATCTGGGCTGGTCTGGGTTCATTGTTTAATATTTGTTTTGTCACGTATTTAATTAAATTACTCTGCTGGTACCACCTGGATCCTTTTATAAATTTGGATTTCATTGGATAATTCTATATTTTTGTTATAATAAATTCTTTATCATTTTTGGAAATTTGTGTAAACTCCAACATAAATATTTAGATTATCCCAACGCGTTTCGTCGATTTTTTTTTACTGTTCTGTTTCCTAACCCCGTTTTTCCCGTTATATTAATCACCAGTGGTATTGACATTGACAGGATACTAGGCAGTATTGGCAAAAAAATGTGGTATTAAGATGGTGACATTGCTCAAAATAAATCTAATCTAAATTATCAGAGTTGTTAAAAGATACTTTTTAAATGGATCTAGATACAGATATATAGTCTCAAAAGTTATCTAAATACAGATACAGCGTCTAAAAAGTTATCAATGTATCTGTATACAGATACATTTTTTATTATGCTTTTATAGGTTTGCATAAAGCTAAATTAATATTATATTGTGAAAATTCATGAAATGAGCTAAAAAATTTATTGACGCGATATAACATTTATCAGAATATAACTAAAATAATGATTTTAATATAATATATAAAAATATATGATTAAATAATTATAAATAATTATTCGATTTCAGTAATAAAATATTTTCAAAATTTTGATCATTTAGGCATCCTCGTTTATCTGTAAAGACATTTTTAGCAACCTAAATAGTCTTTCCACAGGGGTGCTTGAAGGAATTGTAGTGTTATACTTAATAAATAACAATTTTATATCAGGGTATTCTTTAAAAATGCTAAAATCTCTACATTCATTTTTGAAAAAATTATTTAAAATTTGTTGATTATCAAAATTTAAATCATTATTAGAAATTATATCTACTGTAGGGTACTGAAAAAAATCTGAAATTAAATTATTTGTTTTTTTGGCAGGTTATTTGCTTGCAGTCAGTTGATGACTTTGATAATTCACCAGCTTATCTTTGTATCAATTGTTTTTTATTAAGATTTTCTTCCATTTGCAACCATGTCCAATCAAGTTTAAAAAAAGGGTGGAGCATGGTTGCTATAATATTATCATCTTCAAATAAGGTCACAATAAACCTAGAATTATTAAATATTTTTAATTTATTATATTAATTTACCTATCCTCAATCCCTTTAAGTAAGGCATCTAAGAGTGGTAAACAGATGAAATAATAAAATAAATTTTACAGTCAAATATTTTTATTTATAATAAAAAAAGGGGTATATAAAATGTATCTTAAAAAGTATCTAAAACAGATACAGATACCTCTAAAAAATATCTAGATACAGATACCTTTCTAAAAAATCTATCTAAAAACAGATACTACATTTTTATATCTAGATACTTTAACAACTCTGTAAATTATAGTCGACAAATTGTTTATTCTTTGATCTGTTTATAAATTAATCTTTATTTATTTTATTGGATCTAATCAGGCGTGAAAATATATATTATGTAAACAATCTTCAATTTAAAAAAAGATTATTTATTGTTCCTCGAAGCATAAAATCAATTTCATATACAATAATGAATACCCTACCATTTTTGGACGTTATTCATTTTTAAATATAAATATATCTATATATTGACAAAATAGGTACTACACATACATAGTGGATTGTCACGACCCTAAAGCATGCAGCATAGTTCTAAGGGGTCCTAGCAAGGATATCTTGAATGAAATAGAAAGAAATTTAATTGACGCGATGAGTGTTCTTAGAAACGTTATGTTACAATCTAAACTCGTTTATGGTGGAGGATCAGTTGAGATGGCTTTATCTAAGGTACTTTTTAAAAAAAAGCATTCCTTAATATTTTTCGATTGCAAGATGTGTTTGCAAATTTAATAAGTTGCTCGACTTAAAAATTAAAAGAGTCAAGGTTTTGCTTAATCGTCTCTGTTAGTTAAAAGAAATAGATAATATGATACATTAATAATGTTTCAATGCATTTTGTCTATTTTTGGCACTTGACCACAATAAAATATTTTTCTTTAGATATATCTAGAATTTAAATGAACAAAATCGATGTAATCAGATTTGCATTTTCATCGTGTTGGTTTATATTAATTATACAAAGAAATGGAGGGAGGGAACGTTAACTTTATTTTATTAAACTAAACCCAGATTTTTTAATACTTTTATCTTTAGATTCTATCAGATAAGGCTAAATCTATAATCGGTATCAAACAGTGGCCGTATTTATCGCTGGCCAGATCCTTGGAAGTTATACCTAGAACTCTTATACAAAACTGTGGAGGCGACGTTATACGAACTATGACTAACTTGAGAGTATTACATTTTTTAATATATATTATTGGGAATCTGAGTGATAATATGGTGATGGTTCATTGTGATTTCTCTTTTTACAAACGAGTTTGTATATCTTTATATTTTCAGATCCCAGGATAGAAATCCTTGTTTTAGAAACCTATTTTTTATGATTTATATTTACTAATCGATTTTTATATTTTAAATGACCAAACCTATTCATGATCTTTGCCGTTTCTATCATCCCTCTCTGAAAAATGTTAGTCTCAGGGCTTCCATTCAATAAGTTATCAGGTACAGTTACAATGTAACCTTAACCTTTAATAGGCTGGTGTTTAATAAGTTGTTACCAAGAAACATCTCTGTTACATTTTGGTGACTTGTGACTTCATCTGTGTCGAACTTAATTCCTATAAATATTGATAAATACTTGTATTGAGATTACTATACAGTATAAAACAATACTAGGGCAGAATATATTTAAATAATTTGTAATTTTAATAAATTCAAATATCTGGTCAACACTTTACCACACTAGTATCGATATTGGTTAAAATTAGTATTGGAGTACCTCATCTCTTATAAAAGTGAATGTGGAAAATAATTTTTAAATCTATATACATTTCTTGTAACAAAAGAAATAATGCTCAACTTGTTACTTACCTAAAAAAGTAATGCTTACCATTATTACTTAATTATAATTAAATATTTATTACAAATATACAATAGCAATAATAGTTTTTATGAAAAAAAATAAAGCTCTTCATTTCATCATTATGAAATTATACACAAAATACAATTTCACAAATATAAAACTCATGAAGGCCAAGCATTCGATTTCCGATGACCCAGAAAGCCAATTCTATGGTATAGACGGTGAAAAGGGAACAGTTTGCAATATTAAAGCACTAGGAATATACGAACCACTAGCTGTTAAACTTCAAATTTACAAAACTGCCATCGAGGTAAATGCATTTTATAGGAGGTATAATGTAAATTTTAGTTCCACCAAAAGACAAAGGAATGAATAGTTGAGTAATGGCTGAAAATCAGCTAATTCTGCTCGATCTTTTGGAAGGCTCATGCCGAATAAAGCCCGTTAAGCAGAGATGCGAATTAATTTATTTATGATTTTCAACAAAAAAAGTTAGGCTGAGATATTAGCTTTAGGTTTAAAATTAGATTTTGCTAGTTAAAACCCAGCCATAGTGACAGAGATTCAATTTTATCAAAATGCTTAATAAAGGTGATTTAATATAGTCAGATAAGATGTATACAGTTTTAAAATAAATTGGGGTATTTTTACCTATATAAAAATCCATGTTTAAAATTATTACGAACATTTTTGTACATATATAACATATTTTAAGACTGCCATATTGTTGTTGAGGATTGATGATATAGTAAGCGGCACCAAAAAGGAGTCTACTATGAATGAAAAGCAGCAAAACGCACCTCCTACCGAGGAGTCAATGAAAGATTAATTATACAACCTATTTCAATTTTGTTTATTAGTCATTGTGAATATTCATTAATTTTTATTTGTAAATCATATTTCGAGCTCAAATATTCAGGCTATATGCCACAACGCGTTATTAATATTTGTGGAGATTAAATATTATGTTTTTTGATATACAAACTTAAAACATTTACGATTCATATGTTTGTATTTTTGTTATGATTTTTTATTTGAATATAATAAAATTTACTATGCTTTTCTACAGATTTTAATAATAGTAGTGTATGTTTAGATATTTGTGATAAAATCTTTTTTTAAATTAGGGTTATGCCGAGATTTTAAAAAAAATCGATCCGATATTTTTATTGTTTTTGGTTATTTTATGATTGTATTTATAATTTTTTTGTTTAATAAATAATTTCTTAATAAATAAATGAAAGGAACCATAATACGGTTTATTTGTTGTAATGTTTAAAAAATTAGTTAAAAATTTTACACTATTTGTTATAATATCTGCAACTAGGGACTTTAAAATATGTAATGAGTCACAGTGTTAAACGGCTCGATTTATCCAATTTTTAAAAACGGTTAACTCAATATTTTGGCCCAAAATCCATTATTCGTGTTTATCGATTATTTACAGAGGTGTTTAACAACTTTACATTCTTCCATAAATATTGCAAATATTTAAAATTTGATTATTTACTTTATATTATAAGATAGAAAATATTGTGTTTTTATGACATTGGTTCCAAAGATATATGGTAAAAAAAACAATATAAATATCGGATCGGTAAAAATTCGTGGATCGGCACACCCCCAAATTAAATTTATTAATGATGATAAATAAATGATATTAATTATTAATGAATTTATAAATAGTTTTAAAACGTGACATAAGTCATTTATTTGTAAATTGATGAATGTCTTTAGAATAATGTTTTAAAGATTAAAGGTTTTTTCGTTATATAGTTTATATTTCCTCGAAATATAAATAAATTCCAAAAAAATTTTTAATGCAAAAAAGGCGCCCACATTTTGAGATAAGGAAGGATGGAAATGGAAACCAAAAATTTTCTAATATTTACTAATAACTGTTTTGTATTAAGAAGTTTCACGTGTAGAAATTTAAATATGCTGAAATAAATAGGATGAGAAGCATAGGTATGTTAATATTTGGAAATTGAATAGTCACGCAAAGCCAATAGTAATATCAGTAACAAAAAGATAAGCACTACACATGGTCCAAAAAAATTTTTTTTTATTTCCTTCATATTTTTTATTTTAATAATTGTGATTGATTATAGCAATATATTTAACATTTAAAAAAAAATATGTGGAGAATATTTTCATACAATGTATATTTTGAGATAATATTTCCTAATTGCATTTCAAAATATTGATTTATCACATCTCTAAACTAAGAATTTTATACATTTAATTATAGCTTTATTGTGTTAAATTGTAATACAACAACCAACTATATTTATAAATTAGACAATTTTATTAAAAATCAAAATTATATAACTTCATGTATATAATCATTTTATTAAATAAAAGTAGGGCTAAATCAGGAATTGGTGGAATCCTCTGTTTTTTAGGATAAAAGAATAGTTAATTTTGAGACTTTTAAACAGGAAGAATAAGTTGAGATATCAAGGCACATTGGAACGGAGAAAGTGCACTTATGTGTCAATCAGGTGAAGTGGAATAGGGTGGTACTCCGGTAATGACATGTGGCTAATTCAGATAATGTTATATTTTATAAGAAAGTTTGGATAAAATGAAGATGTGGGTTTTTTTTGAATAAAAAATCTTTCAATTTGAAGTTAAAAATGGTTGTGAGACAAAATTTTTTGTCTGGAACAAAATCTCAGGTTATCAGGAAAAATTGATGTTAAAAAAATATAAAAAAAGGTGGAACCATAATATAATAGTCGGAAATAGTGTTGTTAAACCGCTCGTTTTGAGCCGAATTTTAAAAACGGCTAACTTAGTATATTTTGTAAGCCTTAAGATTTTACTCATATATGGAACAAAGGTTTGAACATCTATTAACAAAATCTTAAGGTTTAGGCAATATTTTTGTGGCTAAAGTATTGAATTCGTCGTTTTTAAAAATCGGCTCAAATCGAGCCGTTTAACAACACTAGTCGCAAAGAAAATATAAAGGGGAACAGGTTAATGTTATTTTGGACACATGTAAATTAGATTAGAAGGATATTTTTTTTTGGGGGGGGGGGGGGAGATTGAAGCACTGGTAGATGTAAAGTAAAAAAGATGGGGGGGGGGGAGTCAGAAATGACACCCGAGGAGGGAACGAAAATAAGAATTAGCATGAAAATTTCTAACCATTCTTAAAAATTAGAAATTTTTTAAGAAACAAATTTAAAGGAAACATAATTATATGATTAATTTGATTTCTCAAAATACAAAATTATACTCTAAATTGTTTAACCTTTTTTTCGAGGGAAAATACATTAGTGTTGTTAAACGGCTCATTTTGAGCCGATTTTTTTAAACGGCTAACTCAATGTTTTAGCCAGAATAATAGTGCCTAAGTCTAGAGATTTCTATAATATATGTCTAGACCTTTGTTCCTTCTATGAGTAAAATCTTCAGGCTTGCATAATATTTTTCTGGATAAAATATTTAGTTAGCCTTTTTCAAAAATCGGCTCAAAACGAGCCGTTTAACAACACTAAAATACATTTAAACAAACTGTTACGGGAAATTTATTCATTATATAAGATTTCAAACATCATGGATAGTAAAAGGGCATCCTATCTTGCTTTTTCCATACGGATTTTTATTCCTGTTTACGAAATTTTTATCAAATGATATTAACAAAATATAGCTTTTCTGCAGTGTTAAAATATAGGCAATTTACATTAGTACGTAGGAAAAATATTCAATAAAAAGTGATATAGGACGACCTTTAAAAAGCAAGTAAACGTTAAATATGTATTTATAAAATAAATTTTAAAAATAAATACATTGTCTTGTTCCATATTTTAAAAAGTATAATCATTTTTAATAACCTTGATTTTTTCTTTTTTTTGTCACACAAAAAAATAATTATAATATTTTTTTTAAAGCTTTAGGGCAACTGCAACCACAAAAAAATTATATTCCAAAATATTCTATGGGAATAAAGTTATCTTTATTTATTTTAATTTTATATCATCCTTAGATGAATCATTAATCCTCTAAAAAAATACAAATTATATGGACTGTATTATAATTTAAATGTTTAGAAGAAACTGATTTATTTTTTATGAAAGATTATATAATTAATAATAAATAGTCAATTTTTTTATTTTTATAATTGATTGAATTTGATTGTGATAAAATTACTAAATATTAAAAGTAATCCTGTAGATTTTTTTAAAAATAAACCAAGCTAAGCCTGAAGTGGGCCCGAAATATATTTTTTATAAACTCGGATCTGAAAATATAAAAAGCGGTCCGGGCCTATTTTTAAAAATAATAAGGGCACCAGCCTGAAATTTTTATTTTTGTCAACCAGATCCGGGCTATGCTATTAATAACTCTTAGGGACCTGATAAACATTTGAATTTCAGTCATTTACTAAAAATTATTTATATTTCACCTTATTTAATTCTCTAAAACTGCTTATTAGCGAATCTCACTTTTGAAATAAGGAACCTAATTCTAGGCTAAAATAAATTGAGGGTCACTGAATTTATTTTCGTCCCGGGCATCTAAAAGTTTTAACACGGTCCTGCCTGTCATTAAATATTTAGTAATTTCCATACAATATTTAATATTTGTTGGATTTGTCGCTATATTTATTTATAAACTTACTAACTCATACAATGAGTTTGCTATATTTTTTGCTTCATTAAAAGAATATAAAATTTTTTATTTTTTTAAAAATAGTATATTGAAATCGATTTATTTATTATTACTTTTATTATTTTCTAAAAATCAAATTATTTTAATAATAGTAAAATAATTATTCTCGACTAATTTTTTCTTGTCATAATTTGGAACAGCGCAAGAAAAAAAATATTCTATTCTTTTAGTGGACTAAGGACTATTAGCATTAATTCCAATTCTTTAGTTTTACAGGTAAATGATTTTTAAATCGTTTAAAAAAATATTTCCTATTCGTAAACAAGAGTTTGGAGAGAAGATAGAAGCCAAAATAAAATTTTGTAAAAATTCTTTGTATTTAATAATAAAACAGTATTTATTTTTTTAATAATAATAATAATAATAAAATCGATAAAATAAATAAAATATGACGTTATATTTTCATTTTAATTTAAAGCAGTTTTTACGCAATGCTATAATATGATTAACTCCATCAGAACTCATTAAATTATACTGTTTTCATATTAGATTAAAAGATGATAATAAAAATTTTTTATAAAAGAAAATTATATGAAATCTGTAAGCCTTTTTTTTTAAACTACAAGGTGTGTCTGTTTATCGTCAATCCCTAATATTTGCCTATTGCTATTATTAAGCCTTGATTTTTTGTTTGAATTTTGTATTTATAAAATAAATTATTGAAAATATTTGATCTGGAACAAGAGCAAATAATATTATTTATTACCTGCCTTTTGACGCTGATCCAATCATTAGAGAAATAAAATGTAAAAAAATAATATCTGAGCCAACATTTTTCATTTCCTATCCCTTAAACTTGGAAATATATAAATAACTAAACTACAACCATAGACTTTGAACTTATAGTTAGAAATTTATACATATTTTTAAAATATTATTTTTTAACATAAATCGGATAGTAAAAACCGGAGATCAGACCGACACTCATGATAACTGTTAATGTCGGTTTGTTCGAGTATCTTTATCGGTTTTCATGTCTGCTAAAAAGCTAGTCCTCCCTGGTAAAAAGCGGAATTTTCTGAGGGGAAATTAAGTCGGGTATCCAGGCCCTTGAATTATGTTCATAACACAGTGTCGAACTCAAAACGCAAAACCGAAACGAACCACGATAGATTTTCATATTTTAAGAAAATCTCAAGAAGGAAAGGAACCCAGTTACCTTATTTAAAGCCTGTTCATAACAGTTTTTTTATTATACCGATACCACTTTTTGGAGGTCGATCCGATATTCCCTAATTTATATATTTAAATTTATTATATTGATTGCATTGGCATGGTTAAAGCGAGGCTTGAAGAATATCTTTCATTTAGAAATTTACCTATTTTCGTAAATATCTCGTTAAATAATTGTTTTAACGCGATAAAAGCTTATTTTTGGTTTGTGAGGTTTGTATGACTTTGCTATGTATTTTAAAATAAACATGGTTTCATAAGTTTTCTGTGATGAAAATTTTTACTCTTGGATTATCATTCATTCGTTTATGGTGGATCAAATTTTTAAATATAAATGGAACTGAATTAATATGCCTATCTTAACTCGAAACCCTTAATTTTAAAAGTTTTTACAATTCTCAAGATATGTTTGTTAAATTGGTATTATTTATTTATCTATTATATTCTCTTTTTTTTCAAAGAAATGATTTCGATATCCAATAAATTTGATAACGAATCCTTAAACGGCATTACCGAAGGCAAAGTTAAATACGTTTCTCAAGATTCTCTCAATTCCTTATCATCTTCATCCTCGAATTCATCCTCATCCATGGTTAAGTTTTTCAAATCCGGACACCTCTACAAATCAAAATTCAATCATTTATTGGAGAACGTTAAGCGCACTTTACACCACCACAAAAATCCCGAAAATTTGGTAAGTCCTGAAATCAATATTAATGATAACGAGAATACAGATGCAAAGACCAGCCAGGATCTCTCACAAAATATGGGCGAGACGTTTCAAAAAACCGATCAGTAAATTTAAACACCAATTGATTTGTTTATTTAGGCTGTGCCCCAAAACGTCAAAAAATTTCAATTCACAAACTTTCAAATTTTAAAATATAAAATTAAAAATATGTTCAAAACATAATTCCAATTTTTTTAAATATAAATTTCAAAATGCGATTTCTTTAAAATTTGCTCAAGTTTTGAAACTTTTCAAATTTTTTTTTAAAAAGATTTTGCACCCAGCTTTGTAATATATAAAATAAGAAAATTTGGGGCATTTTTTAAAGTTTTTTTGGAGAAAAAAAATAATTGAATTGGAATTATTTTTCTTCTAGTTCTTTTTATATCTATTTAGTCACCTTCATTCACCCGACCTTTTGCGTCTCCGAAAAAAATATAAAAACCTTTCTAAAATAATTATATCGGTTTTTTTTTGTCATCTACCTTTGGCTCTTTTAAAGTTAATTACATAGTTCTTTTTGTTACCAATGCCAAAATTATAAATATACATTATACTCCGCGCCGCTTCACGGGGTTGCTAATGAAGAACTATTGGGGACTTCTGTCCTGTCAAAGTTTTGAAAAATCCTCTCAAAGATATTCGAAGATATAAATTTAAAACATTTTTTTTTAAAGCACCCACTGAACCTAGTTAAACTGAAAAGTCTAGTGACGTCTTCTATAACCGATATTTCTTTGTCACATGACACCTAATATTTTAAAAAATATATACTTTTGAAGCAAATTATATTTTTCGAGCCACGCAACTAATAATTTTTACAAACCGTGAAATAATGTGTGAAGGGGGTGGGGGGAGGATGGCGAATGATTTTAAAAAAATTAGTCTGATACTATTAAGTCTAAAATTTATTGTTTGTAAACAAGACATTTAGTTAAGGGGTTGAAAATTATTAAATATCGTTTTAAACTGATAAACCCCCCACGGTCTCTCTACACATGTATCTTCTCCCATATTTATCCAAAAATGAATCCATATAAATAAAATTTATCAGGAAGAAGGCACACAAGTTCCCTAGGAAAATCCTGATCACCCCTATGAATAGTGTGGAGGAGAGGGGGGGGGCTTTAAATTTCGATGAAAATAAATTTGAAGGTAAATGTAAAATTTGGAAAGAATTCCGAGTATCATATTTGGCAGGCCATTTAATATTTATATGGAATCTGTTAATTAATTAATTTTTTTTATATATAACTTTGGCATAAATAATTTTTTACCATTTATAAAAGTAAAATTTTTTAATGATTTTTTTTTATAAAATATGAGTTTACTTTAAACACACTAACTATTTAAATGAGTAAATATGTATCTTTATTTTCCGCTTAAAATTTATTAAAACATAAAATTTATAAATGCTCTCTAAACAATATTTAATATTATTTATGAATAAATGAACAAAATAAATATATATTATTACCACTTAAAAATTTGTCATGATGGCGGGGAGGGGGAGGCTATGATTTTTTATTATTAAAAAATATGATATACTATCAGATCAGACCCTTTCTCCTTGATAAATGAATCATAAATGTATTTATTTTGTTGCTATATTCCTTAATTTTCCACTATTTTTAAAATAATTTTAATAATGTTTTTTAGTACTTTTAAATGTTAACAAATAATTGGTACACGATGACTATCATCAAATAAATGATAAAATTCTCATTCCCCATCATTCTTGACGGGCAAAATAAAGACAATAAAAGATAAAATAACTAAGTGCGATATAATCGCGTATTTATGAATAAATGAACAAAATAAATATATATTATTACCACTTAAAAATTTGCATGATGGCGGGGAGGGGGAGGCTATGATTTTTTATTATTAAAAAATATGATATACTAGCAGACCCTTTCTCCTTGATAAATGAATCATAAATGTATTTATTTTGTTGCTATATTCCTTAATTTTCCACTATTTTTAAAATAATTTTAATAATGTTTTTAATACTTTTAAATGTGAACAAATAATTGGTACATGATGACTATCATCAAATAAATGATAAAATTCTCATTCCCCATCATTCTTGACGGGCAAAATAAAGAAATAAAAGATAAAATAACTAAGTGCGACATAATCGCGTAGGATTAGAGTTTTCTGGTTATTAATGAAGATAACGCTTAATTTGAGGCATCATTTGGAAGAGAAAAAAATTCTCTACCGTTGTACGTTAAAAAAAATTTTAAAAAAAATAAATAGTGTTTTTTATTTTTGGCGCCATATCTTTAACGGTCAATAGCTGGAAAATGGTAATAGTACAAATCGAGTTTGAAACGGTACAAATTGGGTACAAATCAATCCTGTTTTATAAATTTGAAAAATCTCAAATTTTGAATATCGGGGGGGGGGGGGGCTAACTTCACGCTATAATATAAGGTTTAAAATTTGATTTCCGAATGAAGATAAAGCTTAATTTGAGGCATCATTAGCAAGAGAAAAAAATTGTCTACCGTTGTACGTTAAAAAATTTTTTAAAAAAATAAATGTTGAGTGTTTTTTATTTTTGGCGCCATATCTTTAACGGTCAATAGCTGGAAAACGGTAATAGTACAGATCGAGTTTGAAACGGTACAAATCGGGTACAAATCAATCCCGTTTTAAAAATTTAAAAAATCTAAAATTTTGAATATCGGGGGGGGGGGGGGGGGGGGGGGCTAACTTCACGCTATAATATAAGGTTTAAAATTTGATTTCCGAAATAAATAATGAAGATAAAGCTTAATTTGAGGCATCATTAGGAAGAGAAAAAAATTGTCTACCGTTGTACGTTAAAAAATTTTTTTAAAAAATAAATGTTGAGTGTTTTTTATTTTTGGCGCCATATCTTTAACGGTCAATAGCTGGAAAACGGTAATAGTACAGATCGAGTTTGAAACGGTACAAATCAATCCCGTTTTAAAAATTTAAAAAATCTAAAATTTTGAATATCGGGGGGGGGGGGCTAACTTCACGCTATAATATAAGGTTTAAAATTTGATTTCCGAAATAAATAATGAAGATAAAGCTTAATTTGAGGCATCATTAGGAAGAGAAAAAAATTGTCTACCGTTGTACGTTAAAAAAATTTTTTAAAAAATAAATGTTGAGTGTTTTTTATTTTTGGCGCCATATCTTTAACGGTCAATAGCTGGAAAACGGTAATAGTACAGATCGAGTTTGAAACGGTACAAATCGGGTACAAATCAATCCCGTTTTAAAAATTTAAAAAATCTAAAATTTTGAATATCGGGGGGGGGGGGGGGGCTAACTTCACGCTATAATATAAGGTTTAAAATTTGATTTCCGAAATAAATAATGAAGATAAAGCTTAATTTGAGGCATCATTAGGAAGAGAAAAAAATTGTCTACCGTTGTACGTTAAAAAATTTTTTTAAAAAATAAATGTTGAGTGTTTTTTATTTTTGGCGCCATATCTTTAACGGTCAATAGCTGGAAAACGGTAATAGTACAGATCGAGTTTGAAACGGTACAAATCAATATCGGGGGGGGGGTGCTAACTTCACGCTATAATATAAGGTTTAAAATTTGATTTCCGAAATAAATAATGAAGATAAAGCTTAATTTGAGGCATCATTAGGAAGAGAAAAAAATTGTCTACCGTTGTACGTTAAAAAATTTTTTTAAAAAATAAATGTTGAGTGTTTTTTATTTTTGGCGCCATATCTTTAACGGTCAATAGCTGGAAAACGGTAATAGTACAAATCGAGTTTGAAACAGTACAAATCGGGTACAAATCAATCTCTATCGACCTATTCACCTTTTATTTTTAAGTTCAAAAGTTGGGGGGCTGTCATGAAGTTGGCCCCCCATTTTGTTCTTTGAATATCTCAAAAACGGTGATGGTACAAATCGAACTGAAAACGGTACAAATCGGGTACTAATCACACCAACTGATAAACCATTGAAAATCAAAAATTGTGGGACCAACTTCACGGACCTTTTCAAATCATCTAAAATCTCGGAATAAACATAAATATTTAAAACGACGAGATATAAAAATGGAATTTTTAAGAAAATAAATAATGTAATAAATAAGATACGTTCCGATTGATAATTCGATATTAAAAATAAACAATAATAATTTCAGAAATAATAAACAAATTATGTTCCATTGAGTTATTGGTTAAAATGCAAGGTATAAACATAAAAAAATGAATGAAAATACAATAATTAGATTGATTGAGATATTATAATATAAATTGCAATTTGTCATTATTTGGTAAAAATGTAATTTTTTTTGGTAAAACCCAAAATATATAACCATTTTGCTTTTCTCTTAATGTGCAAACATTGTTTGTTTTTATACTTTATCATATAAAAATATTGGAAGTTCTTACCCATGGATCTACTGCGAGGTGGGATAAGCTTTTCCCTGCTAATTTTATCTTAATTGCCCCCTTTCCAAATTTTGAGTTGGGTCTGAGTAATGTAGGTAATTATCCGGTCTGGACCGATATTTCAGTTCGGATCAGACCATCGTCTTCTTTAAACTTATGGTTTTTATATTGTTAAATAAAAATGAACTAAAAATTAGCAAAAACTAAAATGACTCCTCGATAAAAATAACATAAATATAAAATCTACAAAAAATATCAGGTAAAAATTTATATAATTAACTAGTAAAGCAAACTTGAATGTTAATAAAAGACCTGGTGGTCTGGAAAAAACAAAAAAAACTGATCCTGACTGTGGTCCTCAAAAAGATCGGTCCGGCTCCGGTCTAAGACCGATAGGACCGGGCCGTTGACCTAAACTAAGGCTGAGTCAACCCCCCTTCTCGCCAAAAAATTAAAATTTGTTCAAAAGAGTTTTCGAATCCCCTTTATTATTGTTATAAAAATCGTTTTAATATTTTTTATACGTCAAGAATCTTTATAATATTTTTTTATAGCCCCATAGAAGATAAAGGAAGCAATAAGTTTTATTTTTTTAAATATTTTTGTTTCCGTTATTTTGTAGAAATTTTTATAAGTGGTCGTCGTTTCTGTCTTTTTAAAGTATA